AATTTTTAAAAATTTGAGTCTGAATCTTGCTAAGTCATTAGGTTGCCCTAATTGGGCTGGAGATTATACTCCTCCTGTCTCAGTCTCCCAGAGTGCTAGATGAAAAGCATATGTCACAATGCCTGGGTTCCCCTTTCTCCTTTCATGCCTAGAAGGATCTGTACCTAATTTCCCTGGAGCATGGTTCTTCCTAGAGCCTGTTACGTCTCAGTGTTCAGAAATAGCCCCGTGCACCTCCACACTGCCAAGGGGTGAGTCATTTGCAGCTGCTCCTTAGGGCAGGTAAAGGCGGCCGGAGGGTCTAAGGAGCTGAGGCAAAGTCCTTGGCCAGGGACTCAGGCTCTGGGCACAGCTGTCCCTCTGGGGCCACCTCGGCGCACTATTCTTGCTGCCCTTCAAAGCCACCAGAGGAACAGTCTGAGCTCTGATTTCAGACTTCCCTTTCTGGAGCCTCCACCACGAGAGCAAATTCCAACACCCAGTGCCCCGCCCCCTCCTCCTCTCTGTGGCATTGGAAGGAAGGGAGGTCACCGCCAAGCTGGACCTGATGGACAGGCTGTGCACCCGCCTCCAGAGCCTCCTTCTTTCTCAGCCTCAGTGTGCTCCTCTGCTCCCCATGCTTTCTTTCCCTCCAATACCCATCAGCATCCGAGTGTTTATGCTGCACACGGGACACAGTGGCCGGGGGTACCTCTAATTTGCTTGTATGCTCTAGTGTTCTTATCGAACCAGGTTCCAAAGCCTCCCTTTAAAGCTGAACCAATAGCTCCTGATAAAAACAGCAGCTGATGACTGCATAAATCTCTTACTGGAGTGACTTCTGGTCTCAGGTCCCTCTCCTGTTGTGAAAGCTGTGGGCAACCTCACTGGGTTTTGATTCCTTGGAACCAGAGAGGCATGAACACAGAGACTGCTATTCCCACACACCCTGCTGGGCTGGCCCACCCCCTGTCACCCTGTGCTTACCTTGCTGTGCCGTGCACATTGCCTTCCACCTACTCCTGTGGCCAACTTGTCCCCACCAGCCTCTGTGGCTTCCACTTCCATCTACCTGCTGGGACCCCAGGCATCTGCGTCTCTCCTTCCAGACCAGCTACCCATGGCCTCCAGGAATCTCCAATCAGAGGCCAGGAGACTGAGCCCTCCTCCTGGACCTGCTCCCCCGACTTGTCACATCATTCTGGCAACCTGAGCCTCCCCCATGACACCTTCACATTTACTGCGCACTTGTCACCCAGTCCCAGGCACCCTGCTTCTGTGCTTCAGTGGCATCCTTACATCTGTACCCGCCTCTGCTACTGTGGAGAGAGGTTCTCATTGTCCTGCTGTTCATAATGAACAACATTTTTATTGTACTGTTATCTGCTTGCCATGACCAGCACAGCTCTTGAAACTCTGGAGGGAGGATGGTGGAGAATGAAGAAGACAGGAATCAATATACAAAAGCTGAGGTCAGGTGGAACCCTCTCTCCTGGAGAAAGGAACTACCCAGCATCAGCAGTACCAGTACGTTTATTTACGCAATCAGCATATGAATGGAGAGTTTAAGGGAAGGGTAGAATCTGGGACAGGAAGAATATCTAATCTACAGCAGAACAGCATGCCTTGGTGGCTTCACAAGGATCAAGAGGAAACTGTCTATACTATCTCAAGTGAAGGTCAAGTCACTGAACTGTGCACACTTCTAATGGGGCCCTACCAAACTCATGAGAAGCAGTGGCCTTGTCCTAGATACCTAAGCTACAGACTGTTTTGTCCTCAACATCCATTTATTCCCCTAGAGAGTGCACACTGCTGTGGTCTCCATGTCTTGTCCCTCTGACTGTAGCTGTGCCCCTTCCTGAGAACACTTTGCAGGTTCCGTCATCCTCAGGATGAAGCACAAAGTCCTTGGTGAAGTTCGAGGACTTTTCCTGGGTCAGCTTCTTGCTCTAGTAGCTTCTTCCCACACACCTGAGCTCCCCCAGCTCTCTATGCTGTAACACTGTTCGCAGTGTTGTGTAAGAAGCATACATGGTCTCTACTCCACTCCTTGTGCGGGACTCCTAAAACCTGTAGAGATTCCGGAGCAGTAGCAATGTGTTCTCTTACCCATGGGAGACACTATTTCAGGATATCTTCCAAATGGCCTTCCGTATGAAGATCAAGAATCTTTATTCTTTCTCAAAATTACTAACACTAATCTTCATTCTGAAACATATGTAGAGGTCTTCTTAGAACTTTGTTTTCACAATTTTTATTTTTTATCAGTACATGCTTGCAGTACATAATGGTCACATTCCCCTTGGGAATATCTTAATTCTTTTTCATCTCCTCTCCCTCTCCCTCACCTCATCACTTGGTCCCCTTCCCAGCACAGACTTTTGACTAGCATGTAAAATGGGAGTCCTCTTGTGGGACTGAGCCCTCACCCTGTGGAATCCCAGGCTAACTCCGGGTTGGGGGATCCCAGGCTGAGATGCCTTCAGTGCAGTGGACAAACACTTGGTAGTTTATGAGCTGGGTGCTGACAGCTGGCCCATGCTGTGGTTTGAATGTTCCCTGAGAAACTCGCAGGGGAACGACATTGCCCTGTGATGAAATTAGGAGGCAGGTCGGCGAGCCAGTGATGGGCCATGAGTGGAGCACACTGCTCTCCGGGACTGGGCTCTGATGGGAAGGTGACTTGGGCCCTGCCCTCTTGTAACTGAGAGAGTAAAATGGCCGAAAATTAGGAGTTTTTTGTTTGTTTGCTTGTTTGTTTTTCTGAGTTAAGCTGCTCCTCCAGCTTCCTCATGTGGAGAGTGTCGATGACGACCCCCTTCTCCTCAGCTCAGATGATGGGACAAGGAAACCACGGCCTCTAGAATAAAAGGAGCAAGGGTCCGAAAGGAAAGCGCGTTTCCACAAGGGGGCGGGGTGTGTGTGGGGGAACCAGGGAACCGCCAGGGGTTGAAAAGCATCTGAATGTCCCCTACTGTCTCAGCCTGTTCCTCCCCTCTCTCCCTCAAGAGAAGCCCTTGCACCTCTGACTCGGGGTGGGCAGAGATTTGAGGCGAAGGCCTCCCTGCTCCTCGGAGCTACCGAAATAAACCGCCTCCCTGCAGATGGGAAGGCGGGGGTGGAGGAAGAGCGGAGGGAGGCAAGGGGAAGGGAGGACGACGAAGATGGGCTGAGCATGTAACCGACCCCCACAGCGAGAGCGCTCTTTATACGGCCAGCGGCCAGCGTTTACCTACAGCAATACCATAAATAAACAAGGATCCCCCGTGTTTCCTGGGAGCAGAGGGCCGCCTGGACTCCGGGATCAGGAGCAGGTTGGGTGAGCCACCAGGAGAGTCCTGGCTCCTAAGTGGTCCGAGCGCCCCTATTCCCACCAGGAGAGCCCGGCCCAAGAAGGTGAGGATGGAGCGGGCCTCGCCCCTGAGCCCCGCAGCCCGTGCTTTGCGCCCCGCCCCCGCCCCCAGCAGAGCGCTGGGGGTCCAGCGGCCAGCCCCGCCCGCGTTTGTCCGGGGCGCTCTAGGGCCTCGGTCTCCTGGAGACGCAAGCGGAACACTGCTGATGCTCAGTGCCGCGGCCGCGTCTGGACACCGACCTTGTAGCTGCTCCTCCCGCTCTCTTGATTGGCCCCTCCCTCCGACTCACCACTGCTCCCCTGCGGCCCCAGGACCCTGGCTCTTAGTGTCTCACCCTATCCCTAACCCGCCCCCCAGCGACCCCGCAGCCGCTCTCCACCCACCCGGACGAAGCCCTGGATATGCGGGCGTCGCCTCCCCCAACCCGGCAAGTGCTGGGCCGCGAAGTCTCCATCGAAGGCCTCCGCGGGTCAGCACGGAAGTCCTCCCAGCTGGTGCTGCCTGCCCTGGGGCGAAGGTAAGTGGCTTCCGGTGCCCGGTGCCCACGGTGGCTCAGTCCCCTCCCCTGGCCACAGAGGCCTCTCTGCTCGCTTAGTATTGCGGGCTCTTCCCAGGAGCGGCATGGGGGTCCCAAATCAACTGCCGGTCTGGGGAGGGTCAGAGTTGGGGGTGGTCAGAGTTGGGGGTGGCAAGCTTTGTGGACATGGGGGTTTGGCTCTGTCTATACTGCAGGTTGGGGGCTGGGGTAGACGGTGGAGGCTGGGGGCCTTACCCCTGAGCTGCTCCCTTGCCCTTGGGACTCTGGCTGGGCTGGAGAGGCCTGGGTGTGGGCGTCTCTTTGCGGAAGCACCTGTTAAGGGGTGTCCGGTTTTCGCTGGGTTGTTAGCCTTCTCTGTCATTGACTCCTGGCTCTGGCGATACAGTCTGAGCTTCACTCACCACTATTTGTGATTGTGACTCCATGGCCAATTTTACTCCTCCGTCTCTAGAATCCGGGCTCTCTGGATGTGTCTAGAACCGTTAAAAAATGTAAGACTGAATTTAGAAAGGGTCTGGACAATTCAACTTGAATAAAACCTCATTTGCCACAAATTCTAGGTCATTGGAAGTGAATTATCCAGCTTATCTTTTTTTAAACTTTAACTTACTAGTACATGTTTGCCATACGTGAAGTGCACACTCGTCTTAGGGTTAGGGTGCACGTATAGAGTGCATCTTGATTCTTTTCCCCTCCTGTCTTCCCCTCCCTGCCTCGGTCTCTAGATCCTTTCCCCATTTTCATTATCACTGTTATTGTTATCACCTAGTTCAGACTTAGGGCACAGAATGTTGCCGTGTGTTGTGGGTATGTGGGACATGTACATGAGACGCCATGAATCTTTTTACTTCCCCTCCCTCCCTCCCTTCCCCTCACCCTCAGTCTCTGAGACCCCTTCTCATTTGCAAAAGATCTTTTGCCTCCTGTCAAAGCTTTATTTTACTCTTTATTAATATTTTGCCTTACTCAAGTGAGAGATACTATATGGTACTTAAACTTGGGTGTCTGATTTGTCTCACTTAATATTATACTTTCTGGTGTATCGATTTTCCTACAACTGTCTTTCGTTTATCTTTCTTTGTAGCTGAGTAGTATTCTGCTGTGTATGGATAACACATTTTATTTTTCTTTCTGCCTTTATTTGATTAAGTTTATCAGCACATTTTTAGATATACACAATGATTATGTTCATGATAGGGAATTTGTACCTGTATATGTTATAACTTGATTCTTTTTTCCCATTCCCCTACCCTCCCTTCAACCCCTCTTCCCCTCCCTATTTCTAAAGTTTTGTTTCTATTTTTTCCTTCTTTTCTCATCATATTTTTCATTTCCCTTCCTTCCTTTTCCCTCCCCTCCCTAGTTCTCCTTCCTATTTGGACATTTTTTTCCTATTTCCCAATATCTATTATACATTTTGGTCCTTATTTAAACTTTCAGTTTCTCACACCAGAGAAACAGTGTGGTATTTACATATGTGTGTCCAATTTATTTTCATTATAGCCTCAAGGTGTACCCATTTATCTAGAAATGTCTCAAGCTTATCCTTCTTTATGGAACAGTAGTACTCTATTGTGTAAAAAAACTACTTCTTTATCCAATCATCAATCAATGGGCATTTGGGCTGTTTCCAAGATTTAGCTACTACAAACTGCCTCTGTACACATGGGTGTGCATTTATCACTGTGGTATGATGCTTTTAATTCTTTTGGGAAGATACCAAGAAGGGGAATATCTGGGTCAAATGGGACCTCTAGTCCTCGTTTTTTGAGGCATCTCTACACTGATTTCCACAGTGGTTATACCAATTTACACTCCCACCAATAGTGGACAAGGGTTTCTTTTCCCCCCACAGCCCCATCAGCATTTGTTATTGGTTGATTCCTTGATGATAGCCATTGTTCTGGCGTGAGATGGAATCTCAGTGTTGTTTCAATTTGCATTTCTCAAATGACCAATAATGTTGAACATTTTTTCATGTATTTATTTTCCATTTCTAGTTATTTATCTAAGAAGTGTCTATTCATTTCAGATGCCCATTTTTGGGTTGGGTCTTTAAATATGAAGGGTCTGATTTTTCTGAGTTTTTATATATTCTAGATAGTAGTCCTTTGTCTGAGGAGCAGCTGGCAAAAATTTTTTTCCATTCTGTGGGTTGTCTCTTCAATCTGTTGGTGGGTTCTTTAGCTGTGCAAAAGATTTTTAATAAAATAAGATCCTAGTTGTTGATTTTGTGTAGTATTTCTCTTCTGGTCTGGGTTTTATTCATAAAGTTTTTGCCTACAGTAATGTCTTTAAGAGTTCTACCTATTCTATCTTCCAGCAGATTTAGTGCTTCTGTTTTAATATTTAGATCTTTGATCCATTTTGACTTTAGTTTAGCACATAGTAAAAGACATGGGTCTAGTTTTATACTCCCAGATTCATTCTTGGAAGCAAGCATTACCCTGATACCAAAACCAGTGAAGGACCCAACCAAGAAAGAGAACTACAGGCCAATCTCTCTGATGAACATGGATGCAAATGTCCTCAATAAGATACTAACAAACAGAAAGCAGCAAATCATCAAGAAGATTATACACCATGACCAAGTAGGATTCATCCTGGTGTGCAGGAATGGTTCAACATACACAAATCAATAAATATAATACACCATATTGACAGAGCCAGGACAAAAACCATATTGTGGTGGATTAACAACTGGTTGTCAACTTGTAACACCCAGCTGAACTGAACCAGCATGGTGCTGGGTGTGGGAGGCCCACCTGAGCATTATGGCCAACAACATAAAAAAGAACTAGGGAGGAAGAAGGGAAGCTGTTAGGGAGCTGTTGGTTCTCCTGGAGCTGTTCATTCTCCTGAAGGAGCTTGTCATGCTGGCTTTCCTGATGAACTCAGCTATTCTCATCGTTGAAGGAGCTCAGGACCTTGTCACTGAAAATGGCTATGGTTCACTTTGGGGCAGCTCTAGCCCTTACTTTGAGCATTGCTACCTGGCTCCAGAGGGGAAGATAGTGCACTGCTCAGTGTTCTGGAGAAACTTGTTGTCCTGGCTTTCCTGATAGGGACTTGGCTGTTCTCATCGTTCCAGGAGCTTGGGACCTCACTGTCGCTGAGGATGGCTGTGGTACTTTTCAGGGGAGCTCTGGTTCTTACTCTGAGTGTCACTTCCTGGTTCTAGTGCAGATCCCTCAGCCTGCTAGCACAGATCCTTCATCCCGCTGGCACAGACTTTCTAGCTTCCACCACTGACATTGGGGCCTTCTTAGCACAGATTCATGAAACTGGTATGCAAGAGACATTTTCATGGACTCTTGACATCCAGCTGGACTCCTGGGGAGCATTGCCATGGGCTCTGTGTCTTCAGCTGGACTCATGCAGGACATTGCCATGGGATCTAAGCCCTTAGCCAGATTGTTTTGGTCTTTTGTGTGTGGACAGATTTCCTGTACTCTCTTTGTATATGATTCTTTGAGTGACTATTGTAAAATAATCTTATAAATTGTGTGTCCTATATTGTATTGTTTCCCTTGAAAACACTGACAACACATATGATCATCTCAATAGATGCAAAAAAAAAGCATTTGACTAAGTCCAACACCCATTTATGATAAAAATTCCTCAGAAAAATTGCACAAGATAGTCTTTATCTCAATGTGATTAAAGCCATCTCTGACAAACCAACAGTCAATACCATACTAATGGACAAAAACTGAAAGCTTTCACTCTAAAATCAGGAACAAGACAAGGATATCCACTGTCACCACTATTATTCAATCTAGTTCTGAAAACATTAGACCAGTTAGACAAGAAAAAGAAATAAAAGGAATAAGGATAGGAAAGGAAGAAGTCAAATTATCATTATTTGCAGATGACATGATACTCTATATAGAAGGCCCCAAAACCTCCACCAAAAGACTTCTTAGATTCAATAACTCATTTCAGCAGCATAGCTGGATACAAAATCAATAACCTTTCTGTACATGAATAATAAATTTACTGAAAAAGAAATTAGGGAAACAACATCTTTCACAATAGCATCCAAAAAAATAAAATATCTAGGAATCAATCTAACAAAGGAAGTAAAAGACCTCTACATTGGAAACTACAGTACTCTCAAAAAGGAGATTGAAGGAGAATATCAGAAAATGGAAAATATCCCTTGCTTTTGGGTAGGAAGAACCAATGTAATAAAAATAACCATACTTCCAAAATTGCTGTACAGATTTAATGCAATCCCAATCAAAATTCCAACAGCATATCTCACAGAGTCAGAGGAAACATTCCTAAAATTCATTTGGAACCAGAAGAGACCTAGAATAGCAAAGGCAATTCTGGGCAACCAAGGCCAAGCAAGGGTCATCGTCATCCCTGACTTTAAATTATGCTACAAAGCTACTATGATAAAAACAGCATGGAATGGGCAAAAAAAAAAAAAAAACAGTCCTGAGGAGCAACTGAACAGACTGGAAGATGCAAAAACAACTCTAGACACACTTAGCCATGTTATCTTTGACAAAGGTGCCAAACAGATTCTTTGGAAGAAAGATAATCTCTTTAATAAATGGTGCTAGAAAAATTGACTTTCCACATGGATACCACATTTTCTTTCTCTATCCATAATGTTTGTACTAGTTTATATTCCCACCAACAATATACAAAGATTTCTTCTTCACCACAGTCATGTCAGCAGTTGCTCTTATTTAATTTCTTGATTGCTATTCTTTCTGGAGTAAGATGAAATCGTACTGTTGTTTTAATTTGCATTTCTCCAATATCCAGAGATGCTGAACATTTTTTCATGTTTATTGGCCTCTACTACTTCTGAGAAGTGTCTATCATTTGCCCATTTTTGATTGGGTCTTTCATTTTGAGTGGTCTAATGTTTTTGAGCTCTTTATGTATTCTAGATACTAGATGGACCTCTGTCTGAGGAAAATCTGGCAAAAGTGTTTTCCCACCCTCTGGGTTTTTTCTTCACTTTGCTGACTGTTTCCTTTGCTGGGCAGAAGCTTTTTCGTTTGATAGCATCCCATTTGCTGATGCTTGCTGATGTATCTTGTGCAATTGGGGTTCTGTTCAGAAGCTCCTTGCCTATATCTGTGATTTCAAATGCTTACCTATTGTATTTTCTAGTATGCTCATTGTTTATGTCTTAAAAATTAGATCTTTGATCCATCCTGATTTTAGTTTAATATATGGTGAGAGTTATGGGTCCAAATTCAACTTTGTGCATAGAGACAGTCAGTTTTCCCAGAACCATTTGTTAAATTGGCTACCTTCCCTCCAGCATATGCTTTTGGCCCCTTTGTTGAAGATCAAATTGTTCAAAGTGTCTGGGGATGTTTCTGTATCCTCTGTTCTGTTCAATTGATCCACACGTCTGTTGTTGTGACAGTGCTATGCCATTTTTGTCACTGTTGCTTTGCAGTATAAGTTGAAATCAGGTATTGTGATGCCTCCTGTTTTGCTCTTCTTGCTCAGGATTGCTTTTGCTATTCCGGATCTGTTTTGATTCTGTATGAGTTTTAGGATTCTTTCTCTAGTTCTGTGAGGAATGCTGTTGCTGTTTTGATTGGGATTGTGTTAAATCTGTCCATAAGTTTTGGTTTGTTTTTTTTGTTGTTGTTTTTTGTTTGTTTGTTTGTTTTTCTCCGGTACTAGGAACCGAACTCACAACCTTGCGCTTGCCAGGCAGGCGCTTTGCCGCTGAGCTAAATCCCCAGCCCCCTATCCATAAGTTTTGGGAGAGTGGCCATTTTGACAATATTGGTTTTACCTATCCAGGAACAGGGGACATGCATAAATATTGAAATTTAAAATGAAATTTTAAGGTTGATTACATGATGACTCTAGTCACTATTCATTCAGCTTTAATTGGCTTCCCTCCCATTTACTTGACCTGTCCAGATCCATTCTCCCTCTGAAACCCAGTCTGGGACCATCTGGCAAATAAAATACAATAGGACCTAACCTGAGGGCATTTATGGGTATAAATGAGATCATTCAGGTCCAGCTTCTAGCATTGGCCCTGACATAATAAACAATACTAATGGTTATGATGGTGCTTTTCCCAGATCCTGCAGTTAACCTTTCATCCCTTTATTCTGTGACCATGGAAACCACTACCTATACTGTAGCGGCAAACGGGCTGAATTCCACAGAAGACTGAAGGACTCTATTTAGGGCAGACAGAGTTTATTAATTTTAGACTGGTCACCACACATCCCTGACTAGCAGGTCAGGAACATGGGGCCCCTGCTTGTTTCCCCCTTATATACATTTTTCATTTCCATGGTAACAAATTGGAATATTGTAGCCCTTGCTACAAGTTGTTTTCCTTGTGCCACGTGACCGGGTCAGGCTCCAGTCATGAGCCCAACCACAATGATATATACTTTCTTGTTTGGTTTTTTTTGGGGGGTGGTCTTTTTTTTGAGATAGGGTCTCATTATGCAGTTGAGGCTGGACTTGAGCTCACTTTGTAGCCCAGGCTGGTCTCGAACTCGCAACGATCCTCCTGTCTCAGCCTCTCTAGTGCTCTGATTACAGGCGTGTGCCACCACGCCCAGCTCACAATGATAAATACTTTCTGTACTCTGTTGTATATATCTCCCTGTAGTTAACCATACATTTCCTTTATGGTTATATGTTTATCTAGGGCCAGGGAAGGGATGAAACAACCCAGGCAGGGTCATAGCTGGGTATCTGGGCCCAGGTGTTCTTTGTCTTTGGAGAAGAATTCCAGGGCAAAGTCAGGACTGCAAAGTTAACTCTTTACAACCCCTCCGGGATGTTTCTCCAGACACATTTTGAGGCTTGCACTAAGACTAGAATTACTCTATCTTAAAATGATATGATAAGAATCACTGTCCCCTACAACACCTCTGTTTTTACATTTACTCTCCTATTTTAGATACCATAGGTTTATAGCCATGATGAAATTATAGTGTCCTTGATAGGCAGTACAAAACTTGTTGAATTGGATTGGAAATAAACATCTTTTCTTACAAGCAATCTGGTCTTCATTTTAACTTTATTCTCAATAGAAAAAAAAAAGGCCCGCAGAAATGAGGAGTTCACCACCTCTTCTCCAAGATGAAGCCCTTGAAAAATGGTGTGGCCCCAGGTAAGTGCAGAGCCTTGTGTACACATTTGATGTGTATTTGGAATTTTATATTAGAGGAAAAGTTTTCAGATCATACACTCTTTTGTGTGGGGGTAATCAGCTCCAATTTTCTTTGTTTAATAGTAGAAAATATGAGTTCTGTTATCATGCAAACTTTTAGAGTTGGGATGTATGCTCGCTTGCTTTAAAATTAACTTGGAAAATGAATCTTACATCACAGGATACACGTGCATTCAAATTCCACATTTACCAGAATATAATTGTAGAAACAGCCACAATACTGAAGTATGCACAAATAGTTGCTTTTTTTTTTTATAACAATGTGATGTCTGTATGTGGATGATGCAAGTTTTGCATTAAGTTTTGATATGAAGATCAGTATTATTATTGAGATCATTTTAAACATAAAGACTTCTTCGGGGTATTACTGGATAATTAGTGAAAAGCAAAGAGAGCACACAGGCTAAGTATCAATAGCCCACTTTTTATCTTAATTCCAAATAGTAAAGCTGATCAAAATATTTAAGTGCTTTCTTCCCAGTTCTCTGACTCAGTACTCTTTCCGACCTATGTCCCAAAGATGTATCTTGAGTTATTGATTTGATCAGGAAATTTAAGCTACTTTTTTATTGGTATTAACCATAGTGACAGGTCCCAAGAACGAGTTGCCTACGGATGAATAAGAAAAGATAAAAGAAACAAGAAAAACAAGAGAGCTAAAAACCTGGGATCAGGGGGCTTACACTCTCGGACTGCAGCAGCCCAGGTTACTCATCTCAATCACCTTTTATTAGAACAAAGAACATAACTAAAACCAACAGGAGAAATTCATTATCCCTTTCCAATTCTGCCTCTAGCTGTTGGTAACAATCCTCAGGCAAGCCTCCCATACCCAGCACCACACTCACTCGGTTCAACTGGGGGTCATAAGCTGATCATCAGTAATCAATCCATTAGCAATCACAGTCCTTTCCCCACATAGCCCCCTTTTTGTTTTAATGCAATCCTTTGAAGCATCAACGAGAAGGTTGCCAATCATCTTCTGTTTCTCAGCGTTTCCTGGATGAACTATGTTAGGCTAAGGGGATGAGGCAAAGTATAATGATAACATCACATGAAATGACAATAGATGTTTGCAAAACTAAGAACATAGTTCAGAATCCATAACAATGATTAACCTTCAATATATATCTTGTGATCACATTTTTCTGCCAGGTATCTAAGACCAAGTTAGAGTAAGACTTGTATAAATAAAAATTTTAACCTTTCACTATCTATCAGGGTCAGTTAGGTCTTCTCAGGAATCTTCTTGGAACCAAATGTAGCATCTCTTAATCTCCTGTCAGTGTCAGCCATCTGGATGAGTCACGGCCATTGCTTGACCAAGGTGCTTTCTGTGAAAGTCTGAGAGATATTTTCTCTCTTAGTGACTCTCCTTAGGCACATTATACGAAGTAGAATGACTTTCCTCTGTAGTCCCATAATCTCCTTGATCAGAAAATTAGGGATTCAACCAAGTTATAGGATGTCACAGCAGAGGTTCTCTTATGTCCTGAGTCTTTACTGACCTCAGAGGGCATACCCAAAATATTGGCTGTGTTCTTAGCCCAAATTATCTTGTTGATATTTAGTCTCCAGATCTCAGTTGTTAAACATCCAGCAGAGAAGATTAATGGTATAATATCGTAACGGAGGTAACAAGCTTAATATCATAATCTAATCTAAATAGCAAACACATTAGGACATACAAATGGAACCATAATTTTTTAACAACCATAAATATTCCAATATTTAAATCTTAATAGAATATTAACAAACAACAGTTACATAGATCTACCCAGAAATTTAAAAATCAAAACCACATATGACATTACTACATGACAATCATGATAATACTTTATAACATACTTAAATTTTTGCCCTAACACTACATATCCCTTTTAACCAATCTTCTTTATTCAATACATCCAATTTACTATCCTTCAGTGGGATTCACCTCACATGTTTTCATTAAAGGCAGGGATCTCAGTCCAAAAAAAAGTCCTATCAGAAAATACAGTCTTTGCTCCATATTTTGAAAAGTCTGTAATTATGAATACATTCAGTACACCCTGAAACCAACAGCAATGAATTACCACACACATGAGAAAAAAAAGGAAAAGAAAACAAAAACTTTTATCAAAATTCTACTTTATAGCAAAAAGATCCTCCATAAGAAAACTATGTTATAATTTCTACTGGAGGGGCTGGGGATTTAGCTCAGCGGCAAAGCGCCTGCCTCGCAAGCGCAAGGTCGTGAGTTCGGTTCCCGGTACCGGAGAAAAACCAAAAAAAAAAAAAACTGTAAGCTATAATTTCTACTGGAAAATTATTCTTTGACAAAAAGATTCAACTATAGGGGTATCTCCCAAGAAATCATGGAGAGAACTAGGGGCTCCTTATTAATGAACAAAGGTTGGCCACCCCTTTATTCACCAATCGGAGTTGTACCCAATAAATTTTTTTACTCAGGGATTATAATTAAATATCTTTATTTAAATATCTTCACTTAAACCAGCTGGTAATTTAAGTGAAAGCATGCCTTTAAATTTACAACGCAATTATCATAAAAAAATTTTTTTTGAGCTCAAAAACAAAGGAGAACAGCTGTTCACAAAATGACAAACATGCAAACAAGTACGCAGAACAAACATTTACACAAAATCAGAGTGCACTCAAACATAGCCTTAACCAAACTATATTGTAGTAATTCTATTACAATTTTTGAAATTTACAATTTATCTGTTGTTATAAATGGTCTCCGTGTATCATACAGACTAGGAAGCTATCTAAATTCAATAACATAAATTGGTACAGGCATATATGCCTGATTCTATAAAGTCAATGCCTGCCATAGTGGCTATGTCAGCCAACATGGCTAAAAATATATTACCAGGCATAAACATTTTCCAGTGGAATGCAGCAGGTTCTCAATATGATGGATTACTTTCTTAAGTTGTCCCTAATTGGGGGTTGTGCTTTCTGAATGTTCTTGATTATTATCTAAGGATGGCGCTGTAGTGGCATCACTCTCATTTTTTCCACTGAAGGATTCAGATCGAATTTGACTCTTTTGTGTCTCGTGTTGAGGTTTAATTCTTCTAGCAGGCAATCACACTTTATCTCCTGAATCTGTAATGACACAAGCAAATCCTCTCCCCCAAATTTGAACAATCTCTTTCCCATTTTCCAGTATGAATATTTTTCTAAAAAATAGGTTGCTCTATTGGTTCTGGTGGTCCTTTACTAATGATAGCCCCAAATTTTTCTGCTGCTGTAGTAGATGAATCTTTACTAATATCCAAAAAGTTTAAAGTGAATAAAGCTTTATGTTATATTTGATGTGGTGAACTTCTATCCCTAATTCCCCCTTTTTGTTTAGCTAACATAAATTTAAGAGTAGCATGTGCCCTTTCAACCATACCTTGTCCTTGAGGATTATATGGAATGCTGGTATAATGATTAATATCCCACAAGGCACAGAATTGCTGAAAGGAATGGGACGCATAAGCAGGTCCATTGTCAGTTTTAATTGCTTTGGGTTTTCCTCTGATAGCAAAACATTCTAACATATGATTTTTTACCATGTGCAAACTTTTCTCCTGGTTGTGCAGAGGCCATATAAAGCCAGAATATGTGTCAATAATGACATGTACAAATCCAAGTTTGCCAAAAGCAGGAATATGGTTTACATCCATCTACCATAACTCATTACCTTGCGAGCCTCTAGGATTTGTTCCAGGCTGAAAAGTAAGGTTATTAAGCATTCCACAAGTAGGACAAGCTTGTTGAATGGAAAGTTGAGGAAATTTTTTACATAAGCCTTTGGTATTTACATGAGTTAAAGTGTGAAATTCAATAGCTAAACAATCTGGTGAAGAAATAGCAACAAGTCGGTCAACTTCATCATTATATTTAATCATATCACCAGGAAGATGTGAATGAGAACAAATATGAGTTATGAAAATAGGAAAGTCTCTATTACAGATATTAGTCCATAATTGGCAGAACAATTGATCAAGTTCAGTATCATTTGATAAAGTAGCTGTTTCTATATGATTAACTGTGAACCACACATACTGAGAGTCTGTAACAATATTAATAGATTCTGGAACATCTAATAAAAGTTGGGTAATTGCCTGAAGTTCCGCTTTTTGTGCAGAAAGAAAAGGAGTATGTCATACTTTTGAAATCTTTCCTACATATCCAGCTTTTCTGTTACTGCTACCATCAGTACAGTACATGTCTGCTGTAGTTATAGGTTCGGAGCGCACAATTTTGGATAAAATCCAGTTATGTCGTTTAAGGAACTGTAAAAGTTTAGAACTAGGAAAATGATTGTCTGTTTTTCCAATATAATTGGCAAGTCCAATCTGTCACTGTTCAGTCATTTGAAATGCCTGATCTATCTGCTGCTTTGTTAAGGAAAAAATAATAGATCCAGGGTCTTTTCCTGATAACTGTTGTAAACAAGTTCAGCCTTTAAATACAATAGGGCCTATTTTATCTATGTAAGTAATAAGTCACTCCTCTTCCTTGTGTGGAAGAAAAATCCATTCTAAAACTGCTTCCTTTTGCCATAATATAGGTGTAGGAGAATGAGATGATGGAAAAATTAGAAGCATAACTGGTTTAGACAAATCTATATGGGTTAATTGAGCTTGACTTATATGCTGTTCTACCAGGCTAATTCTTTTTCTCCTTTTATAAGGTAGCGAGGGCTGTCTAATGCTGGGTTCCCCTTAAGAGTATTAAAAAGGTGTTGCAAAGCATAGGTAGGGATACCTAAAGAAGATCGTAACCAATTAATATCTCCCAATAATTTTTGAAAATCATTAAGGGTGAGAAGCTGATCTCTATGAATATTAATTTTTTGAGGAATTATTTGTTGTTTTTGGAGAATATGACCTAAATAAGTAATGGGATAGTCAGTCTGGATCTTATCTGGGGCTATCTGCAAG